TGTTGTGCAGGTGTGGGTGCAGGTGTGGTGTAGGTGTGGGTGCAGATGTTGTGCAGGTGTGGGTGCAGGTGTGGTGTAGGTGTGGGTGCAGGTGTGGTGCAGGTGTGGTGTAGGTGTGGGTGCAGGTGTGGTCCAGGTGTGGGTGCAGGTGTGGTGCAGGTGTTCATGCTGGGCTAGGCTGGGTACCACATACAGAGCTGAGCACTCATGCTGTGGGGGCTTGGGTGGGAGTGTGGGGTAGGTGTGAGGCAGGTGTGAGGAGGGCTGAGGTTGAGCTCGGTGTGCGACTGTGGTGCCTCGGGGGGTGTGTGACGTGAGAGCGAGCAGGTGTGACAGGTGAAGCTGGGCATGGATGGGGACAGTCTTTCCCAGGGGTGGCTGTGTTGGGCGGGCAGGTCGGAGCTCCACCCTCCACTCCCCCRCCGGGCCCTGTCACTCACCTGTGCTGTCGTCATAGACCACGGTGGCCGACCGCCACTTGAGGTACTGGACCAGGTCGAGGATGGCGTGGCTGAGAGAGGCGTAGTCGGGGTAGAGGTTCACGTAGAAGGTGTCCTTGTTGTCCAGCGGGTGGTGCTTCCAGCGCAGCTGGATGTGGGGCACCTCCAGGGCGTTGCAGATGGACTGGACGGCATTGGTGCAGGAGCCCTGCGACGGCCCGAAGATGGCCACCACGCCCAGGGCCAGCTGATCGCAGGCTGCAGGAGAGGGGAGGGCAGCACCGGGGTCAGCGCTGGGGGTCACGGGCCCGGGGAGGCAGTGACTTGGACCAACCCATAAACACGTGGGCAACACAGCTGGGCCCCCTGAAGGGCAGGCCACGGACGGTCTCTGACTCTTCCTCATCTGAAAGAGGGGGGTCTCTCCCTCATTTGGTTAGAGGAAGTGGGGGAGACGATGAGAGCCAGTGCCTGGTCCTCAGGAAACACTCCTGCCATGGACGTGAGGTCGCCCGGGATGCTATCGCCACGGGAGCAGCATCCCTGGCTCTCGCGGGAAACTGAGGAGCAAAGAGAGTGAAGCAGGTCCTGGCTGGTGGCGCTCAAGCTCTGCCCTCCAGCCCAGATCTTCCCTAAGGCCTGGCCTGGACGGCTCCCTCTCCCCCAACGTCACCGTTGGGACACTAGGATGCATCTCAGATCCACGTGTCCAAGCGTCACCCCTCTTCTCCTCCCAGCCTTCCCGAATCAGCAAAGGGCACCCCCACTATCCCACGTCCTGAGGCCAAAAGCCCTGACTTGTTGTGACACCGGTCCTTCTCTGGCATCCCACGCCCCAGTCCGTCAGCTCCTGCCGCTTCACCTTTGAAACACACCGCCATCTGACCACCTCTGCTCCAGCCCTCTCCCRCAACTGTCCCAGCTGCCACCATCATTCATGCGATTTATGGCAGAAGCTCAGTCCTCCTCCCCTSTGTTCCTTCTGCAGCCAGTGCGAGCCCTTCACGAACACGCAGTRGGTGACATCACTGCTTGGCTCCAAGGGTTCCCAACTCATGCAACATCAATACCCAGATCCTTCCAGAGTCTATAGAAGACCTACTTACTGCAGCTCCTCCCCCTCCCTGTCCCCATGACCACTGCCACTTCTCTGACTTTGTCTTTCATCCTTTTCTCCTCACTTCGTAACACTGAAGCCCCTCTGGCTTCCATGACRATCGATCCCCAGACACAGTGAGCACTAGGCGCCTCAGGGCCTTTGCACTYGCTGTTCCTCTGGCTAGAATATCCCCTAAAATATCCACATGATTCTGTCTCTCCTTTCCGTCAGATCTCTGCRTTTGTGTGTCTTATTAAGGAGACCATCACTGCCCAAACCTGCAATAGCAAGTCCAGTCCTAGCACACTAAATGCCCCGTAACCCTGCTCTATTTCTTTATTAAATGATCATCAGAATTATTGTTCGTTTGTTGGCTTTCTCCTCCGGCTAGGCTGTAAGCTCCAAAGAGGCATCGGCATGATCTCTKTTGTTTATTGCCGACCCACAGTGCTTCACCAACATCGGAACCCTGAATGGATGCTGAATTGGTGCCTTCCAACAGTTGATGCTCTGCGGAGGCCCAGGGGCCCACGCAGGTCAGACAGCAGATACTTTGCGCTTGTTTGGGGTGGACCCATATCCCTGGGCTCAGCTGAGCATCAAATGAGCAGACCCGGAACAGCGGGGGCGCAGGGCAGGGATTTTACCTAAAAGATCTGTATAAAGGGGGTCTCTTGGGTATACTCTCCAGGACCTCACCTCGTCCTCCCAGCCACCGTCTCTCATTTTCTGTCTCCACCCCCTTTCCCATTCCCTACCCAGAGGGGTTGAGCATGTGAGGTAGACCCAGACCCACCACTCACTAACTTCCCCTTGCTCATGGCCATTGGCTGAGAGGATGGTCATGTGGCCAGTCAGAGCCAATAGGGTGCATGAGACCGCCCGAGAACGGGGCTCTCTCCTGGAAGCAGGACCCGCGCCTGCAGTGGCTGAGCTGCACTCAGGGAGGAAGCAGTCCTGTCCGTGGGCCGCCAACGTGGAAATGAGCAGAGCTGAGGGAGGGAAAGWCACAGGAGCCCCAGACCCAGCGGGCCCTCAACTCTGAGCCAGCGCAATCTCTGTGCTTCAGCCATTTAGGTCTTGGTTTCTGCTTCATGCAACCATCAGAGATGCATCAAGGTGACAGGAGTGACTCCCAGCCTGAATATTTAAATGGGAGTCAAGCTAACCACTGTTAAAAAAAAAGTGTGCCCTTTCCCTGATCTTGAGAAATGTGCCTTCTGAGCAGCCTGCAAGGTCAGGTGGGAAAGGAGACGTCTCCCATACAGTGGTGTGGAAAGAGGTGGCCTCTGGTCCCCCGCCTGCCCCTTCTGTTTTACCACCGGCTCCATCCTGAACCACAGGGGCCTCTCTCCCTCCCGGTGGACATCCAGCCTTCCCAGCCATTACCGTCTGCACCTCCTTGCTCACCCCTGGGCCCAGAAGCATGGTCCTGGAAGCTTGGCTCCTCCCCCTGGAGAATGGACCCAGGCCAGAGGGTCATGCTCTGGAACTGGGCTCAGGACCATSTGAGCAAGAAATTCAGGGCTCTAGATACTTAGAGCAAAGCCTAGAAGGTCTAGAAGGCTCCTGGTGGGCGAGTCGGCGTGGTCCCACTGACCCTGTCTTGGAAGAAGAGACCAATCGCAGGAGAGAGTGTGGCCCCTCCAAAGCACGAGGAGGTACCAAGGGACCCAGGGACCCAGGGTGGATTAGAATCCAGCAGAAAAGGTACTACCTCCACTGCCCCTGCTGCCTCCCAGGAGTGGGAGGCATTATACAAAATGGTTATTTTTCCTGAAATTCCAACTTCTCCCAAGGATATTGGAGACCACCACCTGGGGCCCAGGTGGACGCAGAGCAGTGTGGGAGGCAGCCAGTGCCGCGGGGAGTCTTGGAACCACCGGACATGGGCCGGAGAGCAGCTGAGTCAGCACAGAGGGCGACCAGGGCTCCTTGCGTCCAAGGCCAAGTGCAGGGAGTGGCCAYGCCCCAGTCAGAGGGTGCCTCCTGGTGCTCTGCGGTCCTGGGCCTGGAGGCCAGGCCAGGGGAGCACCCTTTGTCCCTGCCCAAGCCTCAGGCAGCCAGCGCACGTGTGGGCAGTGTGTGGGCACGTGAGCCACGATCCCCAGGGAGAACAAGGGCCCCAGACGCCGAGCTCTGGCTTCGCTGGCCAGCTGTCAAACTTGGGGACAGTTCTCTTTGCAGTCTCCCTTCACAGGGAGGCGGCCCCAGCTCTCAGCTGTTCCTGTTCCTCCTTGTAAGTGTGCGGAGCCCCCGCCTCTCCACCCTGTCACCTTCCGAGTAGGAGCTCCCTGGGGGAAGAGGCCTCTTGTGACTCCCTCTAGCTACAGACACTGGATACCAAGAGGGAGGAGATGGTGACCAGGACTAAGTGACAGCCCCCAGGCTGGGCCACATGGGCCCYTTTCCACGTCTGTGCCTTTCCTGTTCCCCATCTTACCTCTCTGTCCGGGTTTCTGGCCCAGCACTTCCTGTCTCTATTCAGTTTTCCTGAGGGCTGTTCATTCTGAACACGTGATGTGAAGGCTGTGGTCTCCCTCGCTCCCTCTGCCACTTCTAGAACCTTCCTGCTGGATTTCACCCTTTCACCCGTGCCCCGGAGCCGCCAGGCACACCTGCCCACCTCTCCTGCCTGGCACAAGCCTCCAGCCGCGCCCCTCCCCAGGCCCCGCCCACATCCTGTTTGAGGGGGTGGAAGATGACAGGTGACCTCCGAGAGGGTTTTGATTTTGATGTGGACGGTTAGGATAATGACGTGATGGAGAAGAGCCCATCATGAGGCTGGAGACAATAATAATGGCAGCCTCCACGACGGGGAAGTTGACAGGGACGCTGTGACGGCCACGTGGGATACTGTTGTCAATGTTGGTGTCATCAAAGATGTCAACGCTGTCACAGCAGTGGCGGTGACAGCAGTGGCCATGACGGCAGTGGCCGTGACGATAGTGATGGTGATAGGATGTGGTGACGCTGGTGACAGTACCAGTGGGATGGAGACTRCGGGTGATGACGACGGTCATGGTGGGATGGTGATGAGGGCCGTAGGGGTGGTGATGTTGGCCTTGGTTCCAACGGAGGTGAAGACACCATGACGGTGTTGATGAGGTGGGTGAGGAGGAAGGTATGGCCCATGACGGTGACAGCGATGATAACGTCAGGAAGGATGGTCAGGTTGGCGTTGATGGGGTCGGTGGCGGCCAAGATGTTGCTGTCACGCAGCGATGGAGAAAGATGACAGCAGGGTAGCGTGGTGGCACTGGTGTCAAGAGTGCAGGTGACGCCGCTGTGGCTGGCGACAGTCCGCGTGGTGCTGACCTATGGGTGTCGACAGTGGTGACCACACTGGTGATACGATGGTGCTGCCCACGCTGGGTTTCCTTCTGAGATGTGGCGGGAGACGTCGGTCCTGCGTCCACTCTCTTCTCCACTTCCCTTTCCCTGTCCTCTCCAGATCCTTCTGTCCTCCAAGAGTCTCGCAGCTGGAGGAACCACTGCCACCCCACGGGACCAGGGCCAGGGTCGCAGCCGCTGCTGCCGCCGCCACAGCTTTCCCCTCCAGATGTTTCCAGGGCAGCAGCCAACCCCGGTTCTGGCAGCCCCGAGCGCACACTGCAGTAATTACATTATTTGTGGCTTCAATTTGGAATCCATTTTCTGGTCATTTTACAGTAACTCAGGGGTTCACAGTCATCGCAGGAGTCCGCAGCCTGAATGCACCCCCCTCCCCTTTTCCATGGCGATTGTAGTTATAGCAAAAATTATCCCAATCAATTTACGTCTTACAAGGAACTGAGCAGCCCAGAGCAGAAGCGCAGGCCCAGGAGCCCGGGGAGCTCGGGTCGATTCCAGGCCCGCTCCGCTCAGGCTTGGACGAGAACACAGACGCTCTCTGGGTTTCTGGCTCAGGGGCCGCTGGGCAGCCAGTCATCTTTTAATTTTCCACAAAACATTTCAAAATAAAGACAATAAGTGAAAGTCCCTTTTGATTGGGAACAGCCTCCTGGGTCTCATGAGGCGGGTGGGGAGGGCTGATTCCACCAGAGCTGGTGGGGCCGGCAGTGCCAGGCTCTGAGCCTCTGTGTCCCCTCACCCCACGTGGCCTGAGGTGGCTGGATTCAGCTGGGGAGAGACAGCAGTGACAGGAACATCCATGTAG